TTCCCTGTGTTAACTCCCCCTTGGCATTTGATACCTGAGCTCAAAGCAGAGCACACAGGGCGGAGAAGATCTGATCTTGCTACTGATGGAGAATCCACCACCGCTCCCAGTAAGGGGTTTCTATGGTGGGTTGTTCCCTCAGTTAAAAACTGCGTGCCTCCTTTCTAGCCTGAATCCGTCTGACTTCAGCTTCTAGCCATTGGTTCTGGTTTTCTGTGGTTGGCTGGATTGAAGAGCCTGCTCAGTATTGCTTTTCCCCTTTGTATGGGCTGTAAGTCAGTATAAATTGGCTTCATTTCCAAGGAGCAAGGTCCTCAGAAGCGGTATGAACCTAGCGCTCACTGTTGCCCTGGCCCCACAGGGAGGTTAATTGAAAAATGCTGCTGTTGAGAAGACCTGGGAGGATTAATTTCCTGCTTTACAATAATGTTATGATCTTCCTCGGGCAGAAGGCAGGCTGGGGGTGCACCTTATGCACCTCTGATTCAGTTAGTCTATTAGCTCTTGGGAACAGCAGCTCACTTCATCAGATGCTATGAAAGGTGGTGCAGAGAGCTGGCCATCCTCGGTAGACTTGCATTTGCAATGCGATGCTTCACTTTTCAGCCTTCAAACTCAATTGCAAATCTCTCCTTCCTCAAGGAAAATCCAAAGCGGGGTCTCATACCTGGCAATGGTGATTAACCTTAAAGGCTTTGACTTCACCTATTTGATTGATTCCTGTTGCTCCTTTTGCAGCTTTGAGTATTCCTAAATTTCTGGAGACTTGAAGCCACCTAACTTTAAACATATTGTTGCTTAATTACTAAACTGACAGTCGCCTTTAGGGCAGATGTAAATATATTTGGCCAGTTGTAAATACAGTGGGATGTCTCTATGTGTATAGCATGCTGGGAGCAATGGTTGAGAATACTAGAGATTGTTCTCGTGAAAGGGCTTGGAGGGATTTTGGGTGAATGTGCTAATTCAAATTATGAGCTTGGTTTCAGCCTCTTATCTGTCCAGAGTATGCTAATGGAGACTGAGAGAAGCAAGGTGTGTTCAGTCATATCTTTTATTGGACCAATCGTGTGGTTGGGGAAGATGTTAGAGCAACTTTCAGGCACAAAATCCCCTTCTGTGTGTCTGGGATAGATGCTCAATGGCAGGCAGAATGATGGGTTTTTGTTTAACCCCGTTTTATAAATGAAAATGGTCACTTAATGGGCAGGGTGAAACCTTGGCTTTCCAAACGCTGCCAGCTCTGTTTCAATATCTCCCGGCCCTTGCACGGAGGGAAGCCTGTGTCCAAGTATTAACCCAAACTTTTCCTTTCTAGTGCTGGTGTGCGTTAGTCCTTCAACTGGCCATCGTGTGCCAAAGGCGTGTGGCTGCCAGAGATGGGTTCGTATCATCTACACATGCTTTGGGGATCTCCAGGGAAGAAAAACTTTATGGTTTGCGTTAAACAGAAATGCTGCTTGCTGCTTTGAGGAAGTATCTTTTTTTCTTCTTGTGATCATATCTTGAGTGAATGAAAGGGACTTTCCAGTCAGTCCTAACCTGACATTTTGATTGAATTCAAAGTAAAGGTTTGGTAACATATTCACTGCGTGTCAGCAAAGCAGGTGGGTGACCAGGTTGTATTACCCTGAGGGAACTTCAGCGGCAGGCGGGTGCAATGTGAGCTGTCACCAGATGGTGGCACAGCTCTCTAGCCCTATGCGGGAAGCTTGAACTGTTTATTCCCAAAAATAATTTGGGAGGAGCAGGGAAGAGTGTAAGTGATGGATCCGGCTCAGTGAGTGCCTTTAAAAGTCTTTGACTCCTGTAAGGCAAAAATCTGTAGAGCTCCATACATCCCCATGGAGGAAACCGCTTGGGTGTTTTGCAAGGTCTGTTATTATATTCATGGGAGCAAACTGGATGAAAGAATAATTCTTTTGCTTCCAGCTGCTGTAATCGCATGTGTTGGGGTTTTCATTTACGTGTCATGCCAGAGGCCCTGCTGGTGTTTAAAACAACTAAATGCTTTATAAACCTCTTCACTGGTTGCTGTCTGTAACCGGTATTCAACGCTGACTCGCGTCTTTCTTGGTAGTTATTCTAGGCTAAGATCTATCCAAGGGCGGATCTAGGGAGGGGGTGCACTTACCCCCCTCCCTTTGATTCCCGGTCCAGCCTCTTGCCTAGGGCAGGATCATCGCTCTCCAAACTATCCCAGAGAAACGATTGTTTCACCTGCTCTCATACTTCCGTGACGGGAATTCCCCCGCCTCTCTAATGAATACCTTAGACCAAAGGTGTGCTAAGAATTGATGTACAAGGCGTAGAAGCAATGAAACATTGCTAATTTTTTTTTTGCAAACTTTCTCATAGGTTTATAGAGCTGAGTCGAACCCCCAGCAGGAGGGGTTGGTTTACCTACATCCAGGGGTGGATCCAGGAGGGGTGCAGTGGATCCCGCTTTGATTCCTGTTCTACCCAGGCTTTAAAGCAGGGGCAGGCAATTATTTCAGGTGGAGGGCCACTTACTGAGTTTTGGCAAACCATCGAGGGCCGCGTGACAGGCAACTGGGGGCAGATAGATATTGATTTTCTAATTTTTTTAGGGGCGCCGGGGGCCAGATAGAATGGCCTGGCAGGCCGCACTGCGTTTTGCCCACCCCTGCTTTAAAGCCAACTGCCAAGGAGTGGCAGCAGCATGTCTATACAGGCAGTCAATTGACTTCCATCATCTCTCTGATTCCTGATAATCTCTCTCCACTCTGTAGATGTTAACAGCCCTTTTTTCCTTTATAACGGTCTTGATGTTTCACTATTCAAACTATCCTTTCCGTTGCAATCTTGCTGTCTGTTAGCCATTTCTGGTAATGTCTTTCTTCTGTTTCTCAGCCATGCAGACTCTTTTTAGCTCTAGCTGAAAACCTTATCTTGGGTATGTTCCTGTTAACTTGGGTATAGAAATGATGGACAGGGAAATATTGGAGGCATTGTCAAGATGCTCAAGAAAGCTAGATTTTGTTTCATGAATCTGAATAAGAGCTATACCTTTAACTATAATGACTACAGCACTAGTGATACAATGCCCAGTGACTGTTTTTTTTGCCTAGTTTGCTGTGTTTTTTTAAAACTTTATTTATACTCTAGCAAATGAGTGTACAGTTATAGAATCATAGGAAATGAGGGTTGGGAGAGACCTCAGGTCACATCTTGTCCAACCCCCTGCTCAAAGCAGGACCAGCCCCAACTAGATCATCCTAGCCAAAGCTTTGTCCATCCGGGTCTTAAAAACCTCCAAGGATGGAGAGTCCCCCACCTCTCAGGGTAATCTGTTCCACTGCTTTAGTACCTTCCTAGTGAGTGAGTTTTTCCTAATATCTAACATCAGCTGCCTCTGCTGCAACTTGAGCCCATTGCTCCTTGTTCTGTCATCTGCCACCACTGAGAACAGTCCAGCTCCATCCCCTTTGAACCCCACTTCAGGTAGTTGAAGGCTGCTATTAAATGTCCCATCAGTCTTCTCTTCTCCAGACTAAATAAGCCCAGTTCCCTCGGCCTCTCTCATAAGGCACATGCCCCAGCCCCTGAACCATTTTCATTGCCCTGGGCTGGACTGTCTCCAACCGGTGTGCATACTTTCTGTAGTGGGGACTCCAGAAGTGGGGCACAGTACTCCAGATGTGGCCTCACCAGTGCCAAATAGAAGGGAATAATCACTTCCCTCAAATCTGATGGCCACACTCCTACCAAGGCAGCCCAGTATGCCATTAACCTCCTTCACAACATTACAATAGTCATTTTTTTTTTTGCTTTTATCTTAAATGGAATAATATAGTGCTAGCCCCCTACTACAGTAGTAAGGCTTCTAGTTTCTCTTTAATTGGAGAAAAATGTGTTGTGTTATATGTGAAGATGTGCCACACCATCTGCAACCCCTGGTCAACATCCTAGATCTAGTTCCCATGCCTACCAGGTGAACGCAGCCATTTGTACTCAGAACAGGCCAGAGACTGACATGCCCATCAGAAGAATTTAATAATCCACCTGCTACAAAGATGGCAAGATACCTATGCTCCGTGGACCGAGCTAAGAGACATCAGGCGGCAGGCACATAAAGGCAGAAAGAGCGCAAGGACCTCGGGGTCCCTGGACCAGTGTAAGAACCAGGAGAGTGGGTGTGGGGGGGGAACAAAACCAGGAGGAGGGGGCCAGTGCCAAAAGATGTAGGAAGTTGGGGGCCTGGATACAGCGAGGAAACCGTCCCAGGTGCTTTAGGAGCCGGCAGGACAAGCACCTGTAGCACGCTCTAATTGGATGCAACCTGGTTGCAGGGCACAGCGCCTGCTCCACCAGCGCTGGATGGGCCCCTCTCCGCTGCCCGAGGCAATGGCAGGGGTCGGGGTCTGGAGCTTGCCCTAACCCGTGGGGTTAGGGTCTCCATCCATCGGTGTCTGACATGGGCTGCAGCAGCGCCTGCTCCCCGCTGGATGCTGACGAGGGGTACCAAGCACCTGCTCCGGATCCAAGCCCCTCGGCGTGCTGGGCTGCACCACGGTCCCCAGCATGACCCTCCTCCCGGCTCCGAGCCCGCCGGCTCCTGCCGCTCTGTGCACTGCCCGGGGGGGAGCAGCACCGGTGGGGAGGGGGGGATTCCCGCCCTGTATGCAAATCAGGAGCACTCGGATTGGAGCATCCCCGGGCTCGGGCGGGGCCAGCGGCTCCAGACGCGATATAAGGGGGTGGAGGAACAATGCAGCCCGGGCCGGGCGAGCGCGGCGCGGCGGGGAGGTGACGGCCGGGGGCTGCCGGGCTCCGGCCCGAGGGGCTGCGCTTTGGGGACCCGGGGAAAGTTTGTGTGGGGGGGTACGGGGAAGTGCCCCCCTACGGGAGCGCTCATATGCAAGGGGGATGCCCCGATCCCAGCCCGGATCCGAGCTGATGGGGTGGGGGCGACACGCAGAGGGGTGGTGCAGGGATGCTGGTGGCGGATGCTGACGCTGTCCCTTGGGACCCTGCAGGTCCCCATCCCCCTCCCCTCCCCGGAGATGGAGCTCGACTCCTACCAGCATTACTTCTACGACTACGACTCGGAGGAGGACTTCTACCGCTCCACCGCGCCCAGCGAGGACATCTGGAAGAAGTTCGAGCTGGTGCCCACGCCCCCCACGTCGCCCGCCTGCGGCCCGGCGGACAAAGCCTGTTGCTCAGGCGCGGCGGGGGAGCTAGGGGACTGGTTGCCCAGCTGCTGCCTGGCGGGGGAAGAGCCCGGCGAGATCTTCGCCAACCTGAGCGCCTTCATCCTGCAGGACTGTATGTGGAGCGGCTTCTCGGCCCGCGAGCGGCTGGAGAAAGCCAGGAGCGAGAAACTTTCCGTGCCAGGGGTGCCCAGGCTCGCCCCGCACAAGCCCTCCTTCGCCCAGGACCTGGGCTTTGGCCACGCCGCCACGGAGTGCGTGGACCCCGCTGCCGTCTTCCCTTGCCCCCTGGCCGAGAGCAAGATCCCCGCCTCCTCGGGATCTGAGAGCCAGAGTGACTCCGGTAAGGGATCTGCCCGCCTGCCAGCGCGCCTGGCCCTGGGGCATCGCCTAGGGAAGCCCAGGGGGGACCCATGCGGGATCACCCACGCGTGGTGCTGGGCTGTGGTCCCCCCCGGAAGCAGCTGCCTTTTGTTGTGGTGCGGGGCTGGCTGTAGTGCCAGGAGCCAGAACAAAGGGGAGGTGAGGTGGGACGGTGGGAGATCTCTGCGGAGGATGCAGGGCAGCTCTGAGACCCGGATACCCCCCTCTCTTTCCCCGCAGGCAGACGGGGCTCCTTTCCTCTGCGGGAAGGGGAAGTTGACACCTCCGATCCCTGCCTAGAGCCTTCAAATGCAGCCATGTTTCTGCTCTTTTTTTTTTTTTGCTTTGCGTCCATGGCCCCCCCTCCCCAGATTTTAGCTGATCGGACCAGCCCCCTCTGATCTGCAGCTGGAAGCTGGCTGAGGAGCGTCCAGCGCTAGGACAAAAGGGCCCCTGGGCCCTGCAGGTGACAGGCAGTTGTCCGGGGGGACCTCCCCTGTTGGGGTGGGGTGGAAGCTCCTGAGTTAGGCAGCTAAGATTTATTAAGTGGGCTCCGTCTGCAAAGAGATGGTGCCTCCCTTGCCTTGTAACAGCCAAGCTGCTATGCCTAATACACCGATGTGAAGGCAGTTGACAGTGATTTGAGCAGAGCAGTGTCTTGCTGTGCTGAGCACAAATATTTCCACCCGGGGAAGAGCAAATCAAAGCCTGAACACTGGGGGTGGTGGGGCGAGTTAAGATGTGCCATTTTTAATTCTTAAACCCTGGACTTCAAGTTGTCCCTGCATGGCAGACACCGTCCCCAATCACTCCTCTCCAATCATCCCAAGCCTCCTAACTTAGAAGGAATCCAAGCAAGGCTGTGGCCATGCCTGTTACCAACAAACCTAAATTCCAGACGGGATTTGAATTCCCATCCCCTGAACAGCAAGAGTTGTTAGTAAAAGTGCTCACACACACACACACACACACACACACACACGACCTTATTAATGAGCTTCGTTGAGATGAGTCAGTGATGAGTAACTATTGCTTATGACTCATTGCAGGGATGAGTATGGCTGGACACAGGTACCTTTTAGGGCTGAGGTTTAATTCCATTAAGAGACCCAGGAGCTAGTAAGCAGGGCTCAGGCTCGCAAATGTTTAATCTCCATTAGCAGCAGGGAGACGTGTATTGATCATATCTCCTAATCTGGCTGCTTTGCTGACCTGCACTTTACCTGCTCTGAATCCCGGGCCCTGGTGGAGTGGACCGTGCTGGCCACATGGTCCCAGAACAAAAAGCAACAGATTGCAAACAATAAGAAGGGGGCCTCGGTGACTGATGGCCGCCTCGGCCAATGAGGGCTGGAGAAATCGGCTACAACAACATTCCAAGCGCTGCCGAAGCGGCCAATGGCAACCTGCCTGGGAGGAGGGGCCCAGCCAGCCCGACTTTTATTAATGAGGAAATGATACTATTGTCCGCACAATGGAAGTTTGTGACAAAAGAAAGAGCATGAAAACTGCAGGATGCAAAGCAACCAGGAAATGGCTTGGAGCCAGCAGTTGAGGGGGGAGGACTGACGGGGAAGGAAGGGGGTGTGATCAAAAACAATCAAACCCAGGACAGCTGAAGATTTGTTGTCAGGCTGGAGCCAAGAAACGGTGGGGATCAATGGACCAAATAGTGCATGAGCTGGGGAGCCTAACTTCTGGTAGTAAGGGCCCATGGGAGACGGTACGGCCAGTGTCTGGGACGGGAAGCTAACTCGAGAGACCTGGGTCCTCTGTTTTGCGCTGTCACAGTTTGACTTAATGTAGTAGCTTGACAAGCAATCCCAAAGCGTAGGGAACAAGCCAGCTTCCCTGCCCGCCAACCTGGTCTCGTACTGTTTGCAAGTCTGAAGCTGGGCATGGCTCTGGGCTGCAGTGTCTCCAAGCCTTTCAAATGGAGAGGGTTCAAAATCCCTTACTAAGGCAGGTCTTATTGGGCAAAAAAGGGTCCCTCGAGCAACACGGTATTAGAAGAGCATAGCTCACAGCGTTCTGGCTTTCTGCTGGGCTTTATAACCTGCTGATTAAAGGGTGAGCGGCTCTGGGAAGTGTCTGGTTGTGAAAGTAGAATAGCTGCCGTTCCAGCTGGAGCGGGGTTTTCAAGGGTTCGGTGGGTTCCTCTTTGTGCACAGCTGCGATAACCTTTTCTCTCAAGACTTTTGCTTTCAGACTGAACTTGTTGAAGGGGTTGGTCGGGGGGAGCAGGGCTGTTAAATGGCTGGATGGCTTTGAGGTTCATTGAACCTGATGGCAGAATGCCTTTAAAGGGACCCCTTTCTCTCCTCCCTCCCCCACTGGGAGTGATGGGAGGGCTGTCCCCCTTCTCTGTCTCTGGCAATCTGTAGCTGAATGGGGAGAGGAGAATACCGGGGTGGGGGCATGAATAGGATTTATAACTTGTAAAAAGTAACAAGTCACTAAAGTGGGAGGCTGCAGTGAGCAGGAACAAAGGGCAGCTCTGCCCACAGATCCCTCATTTACAATTCCAATGGGCCATAAAAGGGCCGACCAGGGGGAAGAGCTTTATGGCTGAAGCCTGTCCCAGGCCACTCTTGTTCCCCATCTTTCTGTGGGGGCGGGGGGGTGCAGGAATGTCTTGCCTGTGGGTCCTTTGTTCTTCAGGAGTTGCCCAGGGCGGGTAAGGGAAATCTCAGTAAATCCCCCTCCCTCCCGTTCCAGGGATACAGGAACATGAAAGCAATGGAGAGAAATCTCATTCCTATGACTGGGATTAGTTGATGTGGGGAAAAGCTGTTGAAATAATCTAGTCCCTCGTGCTGCTGCAGAATTGGGCTGTGTGATGCCTTGGGATAGGTGCATGACAGACGGATCTGAGCCATCTGGGTGGCTGGACACACGGACGGCCTGGAGATCCTTATACCAACAACGTGCGACGGCCGTGTTGGGGGCACTTGGTTGTGCTGCTCTAAGAGTGCAAGGCAGAGGCTGGCCGGGAGGCATGGTGAAGTGGTCCCCGAGTGACAGGTGGTTTTGCTTGTGTCTGTTTTGAACAGAAGGCGAGGAGATCGACGTGGTGACAGTGGAGAAGAGGCAGTCGCTCAGCCTGAGGAAGCCAGTCACCATCACCGTGCGGGCAGACCCCCTGGACCCCTGCATGAAACACTTCCACATCTCCATCCATCAGCAGCAGCACAACTACGCCGCCCGCTCCCCGCCAGACCCCTGCTCCCAGGAGGAGGCGGAGAAGGACATCAAGGTGGAGCCTGTGAGCTCCCCGGAGGAAGCCGTGGAGAGCTCGGAGAGCTCATCGCCTGAGCCCTGCCTGCTGAAAACCAGCAGCAGCGCCCCGAACTCTGACAGCGAGGACATGGCCAAGCGGAAAAACCATAACTACTTGGAACGGAAGAGGCGCAACGATCTCCGCTCGCGCTTCCTGGCCCTGAGGGACCAGGTCCCCGGGCTGGCGAACTGTCCCAAGACACCCAAAGTGGTGATCCTGAGCAAGGCCTCGGAGTACCTGCAGTCGCTGGTGAGCGCCGAGCGGAGGCTGGCCGCAGAGAAGAGGCAGCTGAAAGCGAGGCAGCAGCAGCTGCTGAAGCGCATCTCCCAGCTCGAGGGGCACTAGCTACCAAAAAGACTCGACGCCTTTTGTCCAATACCGATTTTGCACATCTTTGTTTTTTTGGGTTATCGGGAACCCCCTGAACTACAGATCCCAGAATGCACTGCAGCCGGTGCACACAAATATGGCTGGCATTCTAGGATGCTGGAAGGACGGGTTCCCTCCCCTGCATCTCCCTCATCTGAGCGTGGTCTCGGGCTCCCCCCAGGACAGAGCGGGGAGTTGCTAGCTGTGGAGCCGGGCCAGGGCTCTGCCTTGGGGGATGCTGGGCTTGTTGTCGCTGGATGTGGCAGGTTCTGGAGCTTGTACAACCCTGAAACGGGCCGTGTATTTCTTTGGGGTGCCCATCTTGAGGCACCTGTGTCCTGACTCCTAGAGGTTCTGGGCTTTCCCAGCCCCTGATGGGAGTCCACGGGGGCTGCTTCAGCTCCTCTGAACATCAGGCCTCAGCTACCCCAAGACAGGCACTTGAGAACAGAGGCTCCTTCTTGAAACTTCAGGCCCCCCCACTGCGAGGTGGCTGGAGCGTGACCTGTTCCTGCAAGAATCCAGCTGGCGGGACGGATTCACTTTTGCTCTCCCGCACGTTCTTGGATGGCGGAGCCGAGCAGCAGATACGCGGGTCGTGCTTTAGCCCGGTCCACGGACCATCTCCTTCCATTTGACCGCCCAGCCTCTCTTCCCGTGAGCTGTCGCCAACTATCCAGCCATTGCCCCACAATGCCCAGTATCCTCCCCGACATCGTTGGCACCCAAGGCCATATTCCTAACGGGGCCTGCCAAGCCTTTGAGTCCCTAATCCCTACGTCAGGGTACTTGGATCCTGAATCCAAGGGGCGCTCCGATCCAGTGCCTTGGTTTGGGTCCATCTCTGTATTTACATGGCGACAGATGGGGAATGCTTTTAGTCCAGGGTTGTTCTTAAATATCCTCTTGTCCCTCCCCAGAGAGGGAGAGTTGAGCTCCCAACACTGGAGAAGCCCCGAGACCAGCTTGGATGGACTATACCTCACTTTCTTACCACTTTACACAGTAGCTTGTTTGGGATTTTTTTTTTTTGTGTTCTAGATCCTGCTGCTGTAACTGCCTGAGTCTTATACTGGAGGACATTTTTATACTGTATTTTTGTACCACTTTTTGGAGAAGTATTGTTAAAGATTTGAACTTTTTTTTTTTTTTTTTTTTTTTTTTTTTTACCTGTAAGTAGCATCTAATGTGATTGTAATTGAAAAGGGATATTAAAACCCTTCCAAGTGCAAGCACTATTCCAACCTGCTGCACTTTTGGGGACATCATGGCGGATGGGCCGTTCTGCTTGCCCTTTGGAGCTCGCTGTGTCTGGGTCCTGGCTCTTCACACAACACAGTTAACAAGTGCAAGGGTTTTTCCTCTTCACTGAAAGGGTGGAGGGGAGAAACCCCCTGCATTTTTCAGCCTTCAAGTATCACTCCTTCTCTCTTCTAAAAAAACCCCAACTCAATACCTAAGGAGGTGTTTAAGATCCCAGATGAAGCCCTGTGCTCGTGAGAAGGGGCTGAGCGAACTCTTGCCTGGGCACGAGGTTTAAGAGCCAGGGGGGAGAGGAGGACAAGAGGCAGGGCTGTCCTTGGGGTCCGCTCCGCGGCTGAAGCATGTAGGGCCGCAGCAGTGGCGTTCGGCTGCCCGGCTCCCAACTGACCTACTGAGAAGCGTTAGAGTTAACACTGTGGTCGGATTTAGCACTTTCTTCGTTACCTCACACTTCATGAATAAATAAGGTACAAAGACAGACTGGGTTGGCTTTTTCCATGTCGCGGGGATGCGGGCATCTGTCGCCAGGGGGGCGGCTGCCGGCTTGCCTACCAGGGCACCATGCGGGGACTTGCTTGCTGCTTCTCGAGTTGTCCGCCGGCCGAGGGAGGGAAGGGATCCAGCTGGCTCGGCGCTACAGGAGGCGGAGAGCTGAGCCGTTAGCAAAGCTGAGAGTGTCTGCTCCTGGTCAGCGGGGTAGGACTCTTGCCTCTTGCTGCTGGAGAAAGGTCTTCATCTCCCTCCCGCGAGGCCTTGTCTTTAGAGGGACTGGGTCCCAGCGCCTTTGCCATTCAGCTCTCGAGGGGCAGATTCAAAGGCACAGCCCTGATGCCAGCCCTGTTCCAGAGGGATCCCTATCACATTGCAGTCACCGGTGGCATTTATCAGACTGATCCAAGCCCAGAGAACAAGCAGAGCCTGAAAAAGCCCTGGGGTGGAGAATGGGGCAGGAGGGCTGGCTCCAAGGGTGCTGTGCTTCCCACAGGCAGTCGGGTGTATTGCTTCAGGCAACGCCGAACCTCCGTGCCCCTTGGTGCTGGCTTCGAACGTGGACCAGTCACGGCGGCGGGTCCTGGGAAAGAGATCACCTGGATCGTTTTCTTTTAAGTGGCTTCTGGAGGAGGAGGGGCAGAAAGCTGGGTTCCTCTTTGCTGAGAGCCTCACTGTAATTTTAAACTCTCCTAATGGTGCCACAGAACAGTCAGCATGTGGAATTCACTGCCCCGGGAGGTCATCGAGATGAATACGATGATGAATTGTCAGTAACTCTAGAGGGAAACTGAGATCAGGGGAATGAAATTGCTTGTTTTAGAGGCCACTAGGGAATTCCCTAGCCCCCTGCATGGAGAGGGGATGAAATTATATATATATATATATATATATATTTCCCCCTGACTTGCATTGGAAGCACTTGGTTGTAAATGGAACTCGAGGCAAATGCATCATGTACTGAGTGCAGGGGTGAGGCATTGTGTTACCGCTCAGACAAAGCATAGCGTGGGGCTAGCAGGCTATTTCAAGGCTAGGTTTAGTCAACGGGGTGAAAAAAATAACTCTAAGCACCATTCAGCAAGGAGCTTACGATGCTGTGTGTTCCCTTCAGCCCCAGCAACGGCTCCCCCTTGCCCTGTGTGTTGCATCACATGATGTCAAAGCTTTTTCCAGTCATTACAGTTAAGCTTTCCCGGCGCTGCTGAGAGGTAGGAAAGTGTTGCCTTTAATCCTGCCGTCTTGGAGGCAGAGAGCTGGTGACTGGTTGAGGGTCTCACAGCAAAGTAGAAATTGGACCCAGATGTCCTGATGCCCAGTCCCATGCTCTGACTCCTATAGGCAATACTAGCTTTGAAACTATGGTAAAGCATCGAAATAAGTGCAAGACTCCTGGATGTATTCCCATGGAATCATAGAAAATGAGGGTTGAAGGGACCTCAGGGGGTCACATCTAGTATAAGCCCCTGCTCAAAGCAGGACTAGCCCCAGCTACATCATCCCAGCCAAGGCTTTGTTTAGGTGGTTTTGAAAACCTCCAGGGATGGAGAGTCCATCACCTCTCTGGGTAACCCGTTCCAGTGCTTCACCACCCTGCCTAAAGAGAGAGTTTTTCCTAATATCCAACCTAAACTTCCCTTGCTTTTGTATAAGAGCATTCAGAAGGAGCAATAGAAGTACTTGTGCAGTGGTGCTGGCCTATCTCAGTCTTCTGTTGCTTGCATATAATACATCTCTCAAAGGATGGCAAGGGAAAGACAAATGAGCTTTATTTATTTTTGAAGTACTGCAGTGATTTAGCTGAAATCCCGCAGAAAAGCAGTGGGATTTGTGTTGTCAAGTCGCTCGGATGCCTTTGGAAACCCCCTTTTCTCTGTTCAGTTTATAGTGGCTGGATGTGGGATAGGTGACAGCAGGTTAGGAAGAGAGCGTCTCCGTGTGTGACTGCTGGTGGCTGCAGAGATGTAGGACTGGAGCAGTTAGGTGACACAGTGAAAGACATCAGAACTGGCAGGTGGGTTGGCTTTTAAGCCACGGTGCAAAAACCCATCTGGGAATGCAGGAGACGCCGTGCTATTATACGTGGATTGATAAACGTGCCCGCTTAGAAAGAGAATAGCTAAGCTACCTCTGGCAAGAGAGAAATCTGAGAGTACATTAGGTTTGTGGAAAATACTCAGATGTCAAATTGAAGCCTGCTTGGAGGGGATGGCTAATGGTGCGATAGGGTATGGGAACACACTAGCTGGAGCCAGAGGTTAAAAATACAGCAGGATGAACTACCCAGCACAGACAACATGCCCTGTATGACTGATAAGCTGTCTCCCAAACAAAAGCTTTTATGATTATTCTGAGCATACGTTAAAGATCCCAGGACGGTTTTATAAGGTTGGTGTTTTGTGCCGATAAAGGAGCCTGACAGGGGTCATGCTTTTCTTCTCCCTTTCAGGAAAGGTGAAAGCTTAACAATAAAGGTAGTTTAGAGGCCCTTTAAAACAAACTCTGTCATTTGTCTGGCAGGGCCCAACGTGGATCACAAGCAGTTTGGAATCAAATTGCTTTCAAACCTGATGTTAAAACTGATGTGGGCATCACGCCCGCCCCGGATTTGGTTTTTTTTTTTTTTTTTTTGGCCTGCCTTCTGCAGCTTTCAGACTCAGGCTTTCTTGTCCTTTCACTTCTCCCTTCTGTTACTACCTTTAAGGATCCCTGGGGCCAAAGGGGCTGCAGAGGGGAACTGCGGCAACCGACTGCATTGCAACGAGTTGCCAAATTTGCGGGGTGGAGAAACGGAGACGACCGGTTTCCCCGTTCTGGTTGTCAGCACAAGGGTTTGCAGGGGTTAGCCCTAGCAATGGCAGCAAAACCATTTTTTTCAGACAAAAGCCTGCCTTCTTTCCCGCGACGGCCGGCCGTGCTGTTTGGACCTGGCCTTTCATGAGCCAGGCTGCGGGGCCTATTTTAATCCACCCCCGCCCTGTTCTGGGACCATCGTTCCGCCTGTGCAGAAATCCCAGCGCGGGGGGCCTGGCCTGCGGGCGAGTCACCGTCAGCCTGGCATCGCGCCCCTCGGGCTCGCGCCGGGGCTGGTACATTTCTAGGACAGTTTTGCAAGCCCGGCTCTAATCGCGGCTCCTCCAATCACAGGTCTCCTTGCCCCCCGCCGGCTTGGGGGGGATCCTACCTCTCCCTGTTGCTATGGCAAAAGATGTCTGTTGCTAGGGGAAGAGCCATCCCCCCCCCCCCCCCCCCCCTCTGGGGGTGTTTGGGGGGG